ATCTGGGTATATTTCTGAATATAGATTCCAGGACTTAGAAAAAACCCCAACAACATCAAACCCAAACAAATCTTGATCGTAAAATAATGAATTGTAGTGAAGCGTATCTGATTTTATCCTATTTTGTCTTGCCATCATAAACTTGTGGACGCTACTCAGTGGCGACTGGGTGAGGGTGTGTTTAATTTGCTTAAAAATAATTTTGATAAATAATAAATCGCACTTTACACTATATTACGTTTTACTTCGCTCTGAGTTTATATAAACTCATAAGTTGTTTTTAAATGTGATAAAAAACCTCCAAAGAAGTTGTTGACTTTAGAAAAAAGGAATTGCCCCTACAGCCACTCCAAATATTTTCTTTTTTTAAACCGAGCAAGTAGCAGCGTTGTGTTGGTTATCTATCTACTATTTTCTATTTGTGGTGGCCGAATTTTGCTATTCAAAAGGCTTTTTAATGGCTGCATCGATCCACATGCGGTTTTCGCCAAAAGATTCTGTAAAATATTCTCCAGATCATGACGCCCTTGGTTTTTTCAGTTTTGAGACAGTTTTGCTGCACAAAGCTAAATTTCTTTATTTCGCCGATCGCTTTTGTAGGCCGACGCTTCTGTCTCTGTAATTTTAGAAAATCCTGAAGTGATATTTTGCGAGGCGCATTTTGTTTTGAGAGTATAGATCTAGACCTTCTCATTTTTTGCATCTCTCAAGATTTATTTCCCCATTCCAGTAGAGTGTAAATAATAATATAATAGGCCAATGACTTTTAGTTGATATTAAAGCACCGATCATTCCTTTCATCGAAAGGGGGCCCAGCTAGTAATTTATAAAGAGGGTGGGGCTTGCTGTGACCAAACCTTCAAATCGCTCAGATTATAAAGGATGGGTAATGACTGAAGAGACAGTGAATCAAGCATACGAAAAGAGAACTTGAAAACTTATATGAATTCAAAAGTATTACAATCTTGTTAGTCACCGTACCAGGTTTGAAACCAGGAGAATGGACTCACCTATGCGTCTTTCCACAAGTACACGAGTCGTATCTTTCGTTTGCGTGTTTGTGGAGTTCCGCTTTCTTGTTAGAATACATTATTATGTTTTGCCCCTTTAAGGTTTTGGTGAGAAATGTTTTGTTTTGAGTTTAGTCAGAGAAGTACGATGTGGTGAAGAAAACCAGATGGGGCTGAAGCTGCAAACCCAATCCCAACAAGACGCTACGGCGAGCAAGTGTCAGATTATTATAAGTATTTGAGTGTTATCATAGACAACAAACTCCACTGGCATGTTCACACGTCTCTGTTGTATTTTTAAAAAAGTGAACAAAAAACATTTTCTCTCTGAGGAAGCTCATGTATTTTAGAATTGATAAATCATTGATGTTCATATTCTACCATTCAACAATAGAAAGAAAGTTTGATCAATTTATGTATAACAGCATGAGTCGGGAACACAATACATCAGGATTTAAAAAATTGAGTTGATTAATAAGGAAAGCATGCAAAATTCTAATACATGTATTTACATTTCTCTACTTCGATTAATTACACATTATTGCTAGCACTAGAACAACTATTTCCATCCTCTAGGACAACCAGCATTCATTTTTTCCATCAAATAGAAAGATCAATCAGAAGTTTAAGACCTAGGCTTCTGATCTGTAAAGAGGAAAGATACAGAAGGTCGTTTTTATCATCATATCCATCTTAATCATCTTGCAATAAAAGCACAATGGAACTCGGTGTCAACAAACTCGGATTCAACGAAAGAGGTTGGATTCCCCGGATTTTGTACTCATACAAATAATATTTAAAAAATAACCCTGTTTTAACAAGCACATAAATGAGTAAGTTCGGATTCAACGAAGTCGTTTGCAGGGTGAACTGTTTTATGCGACCAATCAGCGGCCTCCTTTCTTACTAACATACGCGTTGTTAGCGCGCATCCATGTTTTAGCGTGTGTTGGGGTCGGACGGACGGCCAGCACAGGTGTGAAGTGTGACTGTGTGTGCATGTGTCATGGGGGGAGTGGGGGTACATGCGGTCCTGGCGTGGAACGTCAGTAGAGATACAAGCGAGACACACCGGTTATTGATCAATGTCACAATGATAAGCTAAGCTTGACATAGATCTCGTATGTAATGAATTGCTCGCTGGACTGTGGAATCAAACGTTGCCCTATGCTAGGCTCTACTAAACAGCAACATAACTTGCTCGGCAAAAAATATGTTATCTAGATGATAGACGACACAGGCGTGCATTTGAACGAATTTGTCCTTTTGAACAGTGTGTGCTTGGCAGAGTTGAGTGTATTTTCCGGGAATTTTACAATAACCCTCAAATGCGTCTCATTTGAAACCAAACTATTTTTAGTTGAGAAAGTCGAATACATTATACATTACTTGCTCGATGCCTGTTATTATCTACTCCAAAACCTCATGTTTGCTATAACGAACACTCGGATTCAAAGAAATTGAAGGCCAGGCTCGACAATTCCATTTCATCCGAGTTCCGCTGTATTCTTATGGCCTTAAAGCATACAATATCAAAATATCATAGGGTCAAAATCAGAATACTGATTATGTATCTAACTTAATTATTGTTCATTTATAATATTATTATGCAAGTAACTGTGAACTGTGAGCCTGTTTCTGAGTGCAAGCAGATTTTTGAATCATTATGGTTATGTACGCAGATGTGTGTGGAGGAGAAGATGTGTCAGAGACTGAGTGGGTATGGGTGTGCGCACGTGCGTGCCAATGCGTGTGCGCGCGCGCGTGTGAGTGTGTGTGTG